GAAGGAAACGAGTATTCATGTTATGTCATGTGAGTGCATACCATTCAAATTGCCTTAAGCAGCACCTATGGATTTATGTGCAATCGGACTGTTGAAAAGGACGCTGGGAAACCTTCTTACTTGTGTACTAGATAGCTTCTAGAGGCGGTACTTACCGAGCTAAAATGCTGTAAATATATTATAAATTAAAAATTGTACGTTTATGTAGGCTACTGAATCTGTTGTATAGGGCTTATGTATAAATATAAGCCTAAATAAAAAACAACATTCTGTTTATATGATTACACAATGCACAATTCATTAAAGTACGATATTTTGCTATTGGTATACTCACTTTTAGAATCTCTTGACTTTTATAATTTCTCACAGCATAATGAATTGGAGTTTGTCCTTGAGAATCCTAAAAGCAAAATAAAAAGTCTCTTACATTATATTACCAGAAATATAGATGCTTTATTTCATATTCTCATGCATAAGGGTTTCTTTGTAGCTTGTTTCCTGAAAAATTTTGTGAAACAATTTTCACATATGCTACTTTTATAAGCACATCGAGGAAACAGCCAAAATAAGCAAAATTGGTAATATGTTATAACACTAGTAGAAAAATCGGTTAATAAGTTTCGGTTTATCTATCATAAGGCTTTTAAAAGTAGTCTTTAGATTTATAATAAACTGTCCAATGCCTTGTATACAGAACAATTATTTATACTATTGAGAATAATTATTACATACACAATCTTACAATGAATATACATATATATAAATTTGAAAAACGCAAACTTCAGTCGTAATCATTGCACTCTAACTTTTAACAATTCTTATTAACTGATTTAATCCATATAAACAAATTTAGATTAATCTGCACGGCCTGTTAGGTAAAACAAACTACTGATTTACTGAAAGGTTTTTACTAAAATGAGACCAAAAAAACTTTAAAGGTTCATTTTAGTTTCAGATATTTCATACCCCTCAGTAGCACAGCGGTATGGCTGTGGACTTACAACGCTAGAATCCGGGTTTCGATAACTGTGGTGGGCAGAGCACAGATAGCCCGTGGTGTAGCTTTGTGCTTAATTACAAACGAACAAACAAACAGATATTTCATAGTTTCTAATTTAGTTATACTTGCATATACATTCCATGTTACTTAGGGAAAAAATATTCCAAAATAATTTACTTAGCTATTATATTTCTATTTTGGTATTTATGGCTACCTGTTGCAGTCCTTAATTTTAAATTACTGACCACAGGGAACACAGCCAGCCAGCCAGCAGCACCTAACATCAATGGCGTAGCAAGGGTTCTCAGCACCCTGGGGCAAAGACACTTTTAGCGCCCTCATATCTGAAATGTTTTGATTATTTGTTTTGTGACTCATAACCCATTTAATGACACTAACATAAAGAATTAATTACCGCCTTACACTGGCCTAAAATAAAGTCCCAATATAACATCTCACGATATCACAACTGTAAACCTGTATAGTATAGCCTACTAGGTGTACTAACATAATTTGTAAACCATTTTGATATTTATGTCATCCAGCATTGTTCAAA